GTTGCAGATTCTCGCCCAAGGCTCTGTTGTATCCTGGGAACGAATTTGCCTGTAACCCAACAGCAAACTCAGTAAAACTGAGTGGGGGCAAATAACGTTCTAAAGACAGTGTCTTCAGACGCACCTCAGAGATTCTCCTCCAAATTTACAGTGACCCCATCTTCTCCAACAATGGATATGCCGATAGCTTTTTTGGCTACTTCTCCTTCAAGAGACCCTTTCTTTCAGCTATTGAGCCCACCAACAACCACACAAAACCGTCGAAGAATATTTCCTTAACGTCCTCAATGAATATTTCCTCAAACTTTGTTGCTTAATTAATTGCCTTACGTGTTTTCTTGTCGTGTCTATCCTCTATTTCGTTGGTTCGGTTCACATAGGAGGGTGTACCAGGAGTATTGTGAGGCTATATGAGTTCTCTCTCTCTTGATATCATGGAGCTCTTAGGAATGATCCTTGGAGTAGGTCCTACCCATTTCATGGATTTTTTTGAAGGAAATGATTCCATAATGAGGCTTAACTACTATTTCCAGTGCCAGAAGCCTGAACCCACCCTTTGAATAGGGGCCTCACTATGATCCAACCTCTTTGACCATCCTTCATTAAAACCACGTCAGCGACCTTCAAGTCTTCGTAGACAACAAATGGCATTCGATAAGTCCCAACCCTGAAGCTTTTGTCGTCAACGTCGGTAATATGTTCATTGTACCATAAATAAGATCAATAGTTATATTTATGTGCAGGAATGAAATGAGTGATTTATATTTTGTTGGATAATTTCTTTTGTTTCAGGCTCTGTCCAAGGGCAATACAAGAGTTGCTTGCATAGAGCCGTTGTAAACAACAAAACACCAATGCAATCTCTGATTTTCTTTCTCTGTCTAAGGGCAGATAAGGTGGTGAATCCGCCGAGAGGATTGGTGGACTCAGTGCATCCAAAATGAAGATCAATAGTTGAAGTTAAGAGCATTCAAAATGAAGGGTAAAATCGATATTTAAAAAAAGGGTAAAATACATAAACTTCCCTTAGAGTTTTTGATAGTAATAAAAACCTCCCCTTTAGTTTTAGTTTAACAAACAACTCCCTTAAACTTTTAAAAAAGTCAACAAAAACCTCCCTTTCGTCATTAATCCCAATAGAAAATGTATAAAGTTACAACTAAATCGTCGAGGTGTTTTTYAAGATTCTTACATTGGATCCTTTGGAGTTACAGACCAACATCACTCATCCACATGTATGGTCTAAAACTAATACTTACTGATATTGAAACAGAAAAATGAGGTATGAATAAAAGGTGAGAGAGATGGAGAGCGAGATTTGGAGTTTGGATGAACATAGAGTGATCGATGAAAAAGCTGTAACACTAGTCTCATGTAGAAGAAAGTTCAAAGAACTAAACTAACTAAACCAAAGGAAGAAACAACACTCTCAATTAAAGAAATTCAAATCCCAAATTTTCATAAGCAAATCGTCCATCATCAAGTGCATACACTGAAAGAATACATAGAATGAATTATCATCTTTTCAACATCATAAGGATCATCTCTAAAAAGAACATTGTAACTATCTCAGCCTCAGAGAAGTTCTCTCTTCGCGGCGTACCCGTAATCGCAAATGTTATCTTGGTGTTTCTTCACGCCTCATGAGTCTGATGGCTATTCCGGCCTTGTTTTAATTTTCTAGCTATAGCTGCATGCATGACTATAAAAAGGTGTTGATGGGTGGGTCATGAATTTTCTCATCAACAAACCATCCCCTCTTCTAGTTCTAGTTAATCTTTTGACTGTGGTTGGGATTTGGGCTCTCAACCACTCCTCTCTCATCGACACATAGCATGGCTTCCTACATCTCTATAGCTTTTCTAGCACTTTTTTTGTTCTTGTACTCACACCTCCCAGGGAGGCGATTGTGACCGGTTTAATCCTTGGTTTGATATATCTAACATGGGTGTAGCATGGTAATAATTTGTAGTGGTGTGGTTCTTATTGCAAGCAGGGTGTTGTCTTCCCAAGACCGGCCAACCTAAACGTGACTTCCTTGTGAAAGGCCTCCAGCTGCCTTACTCTAATGACGGGAAGGCTTTTACATAGTGCAATATGAGCCCATTCTATCTTGATGAGGTTGATTTACACTTTACATATCACACGCTCTTGAAGTTAAAACTATGTTTATATATGATCTCATGACTAGATCATTAATGGAACTAATTAGCAGAGTTGATCTAGCTCGTTGTAGGCATTAGCATCCTTTTCAAGGAATTTCTTACTAGACTATACACATTTAAAGTTCTCACTATGATTATATTCTCTTGTTGATCCAATGCAGCTCTTGGACTTGAAGGGCTTGTATAGCTATTGGCTTAGCATCAAATACCCAAACAACGAGAGTTTCCACCTGTGGAAAAATACATGGAAAACATATGGTGTTTGCTCTGGCCTTAGTGAGCATGACTATTTCAGCAAGGCATTGAATCTTCAGGCAAAGATGGACATGCTCTCAGTATTTAAGAGAAGTGATAATTAATTGAGCTCTTTTGTTTAGAATGATTTATGTAATCAAGATGTCAAATTATCCAAGTTGGTCCTCTGTTTTTTCAGTCCTAGAGGCTAGAGTTGATATGCCCAAAGTGAAGAGCAATTCACACGTATAGCTATTGGCTTAGCATCAAATACCCAAACAGCGAGAGTCACCACCTATGGAAAAATACATGGAAAACATATGGTGTTTGCTCTGGTCTCAGTGAGCATGACTATTTTAGTAAGGCATTGAATCCTCAGGCAAAGATGACATGCTCTTAATATTTAAGAGAAGTGATAATTAATTGAGCTCTTTTGTTTAGAATGATTTATGTAACCAAGATGTCAAATTATACAAATTGGTCCTCTGTTTCTTCAATCCTAGAGGCTAGAGTTGATCTGCCCAAAGTGAAGAGCAATTCACATGTAGAGGTGGGGGGAGAGGGAGCTGGGTTTTCGGTGTCAGGCATAGGAGCCGGTGAGATCTGAGGAGGATCTAGAGAAATAGTGAAATAGTGAAATCAGCAAAAAGCAATAGTAGAAGAGCAGAGATAGAGATTAAGCGCACTAGCCTCTCACCATGGTCTAGGGCCTCTGACCACGAAGAAAGATGAAAGAGGATAAAGAGATGGAAGGAGGTTTTTGTTGAGTTTGAATTAGGGGTATTTTAGTAAAAATGTATGTAAACTAATTTGCAAAAGGGTAGAACGGGTATTTGAAAAAACTAATGCTTCAATTTAACGTTTCCCTATGGAGAAGGGGGGTATTTATTGAATTATTTGAAAGTTTAGGGGAGGTTTTTATATTTTACCCTTAAAAATTATATATCAGCTAATGTTTTTTGTGTGGGTCAGCGACGAGAGGGAAGTTTTTGTTCAGTTTTTCAAAAAATTCTGGGGAGGCATTTGTTACAATAAAGCCATGGAGGAGGTTTTTATGATTGTCAGAAAATTGATAAGAAGTTTTTGCATTTTACCCAAAAAAATTTTTTAAAGTAGTCATTTGCATCGTAAGAACGAAACATCTGTTTCGGTCATTTTCTCCTTTGAGTCACTTCTGACTAGGCATTTCTGCTCGGAGCTGCACCGAAATACTTGTTACAGTTGATATTTGGGAAAATCAAAGGAAGTACTCGCCGGCTACAGATGGAGGCAAATGGAGATGACAACATCCGCAGTGCAAGCAGCTGTCCGGTGTCTTCTCCCTCAACGATGCTTTCAATGGAAAACGCTCTTCGCATCGTTCTTAGCATCGCTCAGCGTCTACAGACCGTCACCTTGCCGCTTCATGACACTCTTGGTAAAGTTCTAGCCGAGGACATCCGGGCTCCTGACCCTTTACCTCCTTATCGAGCTTCAGTTAAGGTAAATTACAACCATGGAATATGTGTCATTCTTTTCGGACCATTTTCAGTCTCAAAGGAATTAGGGCCTTATCTGGGTTTCTCGGGTTTGAACTTTGATAAAGTTCATGTGTCAAGGTGTTCGATTTCAGATTTAAGAAACAGAACACATGAATGGAAAACAAAAATGAAAAGAATTTCTACTGCTTTTTGTGTGTGTGTGTGTGTAATTGACTAACCTCCTGGATCTTTTTTTCGTGATAGGAAAGAGAAGTATGATTTGGGTTTTCTGTATTAGTCGCAAATTTTTGGCCCTTCAAGGTGACTTTGCTAAATTTAATACTTTGTGGGTTTGTAAATGCCCGCTCTGAACTAGAAGAACATACTATTACCGAGGCTTTAGTAAAGCAATCACTTTCGAAGATGTTATGGCTGTTTACCTGGTATAGCTGTTTTAGAAGTTAAAATGAATAAGTGAACAAGCTATTCCACTATGGGGGCTTCTTGTGATGAAGATTCTTCATGCATTTTACTTAGTAATGGAGAAGACAGAATTTAATAGAAAATTCTTCAAGTATTTCAATTAGTAATATAAGCTAAAATGAATAAAACGAACAAGCTCCAATGTAAAATGGGTAGATTTTTTTTTTTCCAGCTGAAATATTTGAGCTATATTTTTGCCCCTTGTACCATTGAAAACTTTGCTTTTCTTGCAATTTATATTTAAACAAATTAGAAGAGGTGAAAAAGCAAAGTTTTAGTCTTTTTGCTGTAGAACAAGCAAAAATAATAACCGAAATATTGTACTCTTAAAAATTTTAAGTCCATTCTACAAAGAAACAAATGCAGTAATGTAATATTATTTATTTATTTATTTTTGAGAAAGGGTAAGTGGGTAACGATTTTGTTCAACAAAAAGAGATGTACATGCACAGAAGCACAGGGCTTTGCAACAAAAAACAAAAAGCCCTTTCACACATCTGGAAATCTATCAGCGCTATATAGAAAAGTCATCTCAGAGCCTGATTTAGCTAAAAAATCTGCTCTTTGATTAAACTTTCTAGGGATCCATCTACTTGTAAATCTAGAGTTGTAGATCTAGGGTTTGTAAAAGAAGAGAAGAGAGGAGAAAAAGAATGTGTTGAAGAGGTGTGTGTTTCTTACTGTTCACACCCTCAAAAATGCTATTTATATTTTGAAGGAAAAATTACAAGAAAGCCCATACTTGGGTGCCCAGATACAAAACAGATGATGAAAAGACTAAAACACCCTTGCCCAAACATTCTCAACACTTCCCCCCTCAAGCTGAGCATATATGTCAATCATGCCCCTAGCTTGACAAGGTTCTTAGCAAACTTTCTTTGGATGGTGAACACCTTTAGTGGGGCAACTGGCTAGTTGGTCTTCCAACTTACAAATGGAAATCAAGTCTCTCCGTTAGCAATTCTTTCTCTAATAAAGTGTCTGACCACCTTAATATGCTTTGTGTGATCATGTTGAACAAGATTGTGAGCAATATTTATGGCTATTTGATTGTCACAATATAATCTAATAAAGTGTTTGCCTATTTCAGTCAATATGGTCTTCAACCAGAGTAGTTTATACACCCCATGAGCCATTGCCCTGTACTCTACCTCAGCACTAAAACGCACAATAACTAATTGTTTCTTACTTTTCCATGAAACGACATTGCCTCCAACTAAGGCACAATAACCAGATGTAGATCTTTTATTATCAATGAACCCTGCCCATTCAACAGCTATGTAAGCCTCAATCTTTAGATGGCTATGATTAGAATACAACATCCCTTTACCAGGGCATCCTTTCAAATAGGCTAAAATTCTATTATGGTCTGTTTGGTTACCGAGAAACAGTGGGATGGGATGAGAAAGGAAAATTTATTTTCTCATTTTTGGTACCCTGTGTTTGTTTGCTAAGATCTATTATCCTATAAAATCTGTTGTATTTTGTTGATGAGAAAATTTTGCAGGATGTTTGATTTTAGACCACTTGGATAAAATCCATGCTTTCTCCAACTCCACAACACAATCCTATTTATGGGGTGACATGGCATAGTATTATTTGAATCTTGCCATGTGGCATTGTTGACATTGCAATATTAGAAACAACATGGGCATTGAAAATATAGCATATTCGTAGTATTTAAGTTAGCAAAAGTAGCTCTCAAAGTCAAACACTACCATGTCATACTTATAGTTTCCCTATATATGTTCATAACAAGCAAATACTTGCAACAACATTTAAGCAAGTAAAAAATGGTCATAACCACCAAAATGACTACCAAAACAAAAACAACCATTGATTGTGAATGGGGTTTAGTGTCTTATTACATGTAAGACTATTTTGGAATTGACTATTTAGCTTGACCCTATCCTTGGGGAGGGAATTCAGTATCTTATTACATATAAGATGGAACAGTATGTTTTTTTTTTTATTGGAAACAGTAACTTCCATTAATTCTTTAAGAAAACTTAGTACAACTGTCACCTTCAAAAAACAGGGGAATAGTATGTTTCATGAGTGGCGGTTTGTCCTTTTGGAATTTGTGTATTTATTAGGTTGCTGATGATCTTGTGGGTGTGGTCATCCGAAAGATTAGGTGGGTCTTTATGTGATGTAGGGAATGGATCTTCTACAAGATGGCATTGTCATTGATCATGTTGAATTTAGGTCTAGGCTCATTTACTGTTTTGTGGAGCACATATTTTACATAAGAAGGAGAGAGGGTGTTGGAAGGAAGTAGTAAGGGGGAGGCGGACAGAATTTGGGAGATGATTTGTACAATGATGGAGGAAAAAAAAAAGGAAGAACTCTTAGAAAGATGCTGTAGCCAAAATAAGTGTGAGCAGGGTCAAATTCTTCCTCAAACATTGGTTGGAAAGGATGGAGAAA